CTGGAGAAGGTCGAGAGTCATGCCGGGAGTCTGAGAGAGTATATCCTCGCTAACACGCAGGATGTCCGATAGATCCAAGGGCGCGGACGTGGGCGTCGGAGTGTTAGACTTGGGCGTGTTTGAGGCGGACGCGCTGTTAGATGAGGGCGTGGGGGTGGAGGAGTGGGTGGAAGAGCTCCTGTTGTCCTCGATGTCACTGAGGCCGAGGGAGTCCATATCGTCCGAGCTCTGACACTCGTTCATGTTCTCCGCCAGCGCGGCAAGGTCTTTCTCGGAGGTATTTGCACAACTAGACTCGAGGGCGGCGCGGCCGATATCGTCAACTTCCTCAGGGTTTGGCGTGCTCTGGCAGACTTCCGACTCTACTGGACTGTCTTTGCAATCGTGGCACTCTAGATTGGCACTGTCACTCACGGCGTGTCCCCGCTCGTCACAAGGACTGTCTGTCACACTCTCGGTCACTTCAGCCACAGCACTGGGCACGGCACTGGGCACGGCACTGGGCACGGCACTGGGCACGGCACTGGGCACGGCACTGGGCACGGCACTAGGCACGGCACCGGGGCCATTGGAGGCATCTCTCTCACTCGAGTCCTCTCCCTCGCCAGTCACTCTGTTATCAGTGTCCTTCACTGCGACAGGAGAGGTAAGGCCGGGCGCGGCGTTCGGCACAATGTTCTTCAGCACGTCAGAATAGGATCTCCTCTCGACCGCCACGCCCTTGGCCACCTCCACCGCTGGCGCCTCCGCTGACACCGGATCGCCAGCAGGAGAAACGGTCGCATCGCTTAGTCCAGGTAAGGCACACGGTCCAGCACTCACAGCGTCATCCATAGCGGGTGAGGCCGTGGTCGGACTCTGCACATCGGTCACTATAGCATCCTCAGGAGTCCCGCCCGTCACTTCACCATCAACACTATCATCCTCATCCTCGTATCTATCCAGCTCAGGCGTCGACGACATCTTTTTAAATTTGGTCAATTTACAACTGTTATCGTCCTCTGGAGCACCCATGTTGCCCCGAAAAAAATATAGGCCTGACTGTCTGCATGGGACACTGATATTCATGAACAAAAATTTCCTTAAAAATGTCATACAAAGAAGTTTTCTCGCCTTTTGATATCACAATAACATCACCACTATCACAAACCTCTTGCACTAATACCAAACTATAAGAAGCTTTCAAAGAAACGAGCACTGGAAAATAATCACAATGTAGTCTCCATGTAGCCCGTCGCGATACACGTTCTCACTCTTCGGCGGAGCGTTTCGTACTGACCCGCCAGTTCATTCAAAAGCGCCGCCTCCCAGCCGAGAGTTGCCAACTACCAATATTTGTATAGTTTTGTTTTGAAACCAAAATATTTAATAATTTCCGAAATGGAAAATATACTGATAAGATACTTAATCCACATGCAGGAGGCGCCCAAGTAGAATAAGCCACGCGCGCGGGCGCCGCGCGCGCGCGCGCGCGCGACTCGCGCGCGACGCGCGCGCGCGCGCGACGCGCGCGCTAGCTCGCTGCGCGCGATAGAGAGAGGAGATGAGGAGAGGAGTCGATGAAGAGATAGAGAAATGAGCGACGAAAATAGGAGAGAGAGGGAGAGAGATGACAGAGAGACAGAGAGAAAGGGGGAGAGTATACCGAGAGATAGAGACAAGATGAGAGAGAGACAGAGAGACAGAGAAAAGGGATATAAGACAAGAGAGATAGGATAGATAGACGGAGATATGAGAATAGATAGTAGATAGAGAGAAAGATAGATAGATACATATGATATATCGCAAATAGATAATATAAAAAAAAAACCCCCCAAAAAAATATAGAGATAGATAGAGACTATACTATAGTGAGATATATATAGATATAATATATAGCTATTATAATACATGTAACTACTTAATCATACATATAAATATACAAATATACACACGTATGTTTAAGTAAATAAACAAATATATATATACCCGCACAAACACATATACATATATATGAATATATATTTATATATACAACAGAGGAAGAGATAGGTAGGGAGACAATATAGTGGATGGTATAGGGTGTGTGTGTGGGCGGGGTGTGGCGTGGTGTGTGTGTGTGTGTGGGTGGGTGGTGGGTGGGGGTGGGGTGTGGGGTGGGGGGGGGTGGGGGTGTGGGCGGTGAGGAAAGATGCGAAGATGTAGGAACATAAGGGGTGATAGAGGAGATGAAGAGAGATAGTGATATTAGAAGAGGAGAGAGGAGAGAGATGAGAGGAGAGAGAGGAGACAGAGAGAGAGAGAGGATGAGATAGAGACGAGGATGAGAGAGAGAGAGAGAGAGTACAAGAGAGAGAGATAGAGCGAGAGAAGAGAGAGAGCGTAGAGAGAGAGAGCGAGAACACACACACACAGACAAAGAGAGGACAGACACAGACACACATACATGGGGGGTGTGTGTGTGGGAGGGTGGGAGAGTGGGGGAGTGTGGGAGGGTGGGTGTGGGTGGGGGGGGGGGAAGGAGGGAGGGAGGGAGCAGAGGGATAGTAGGGAGCAGGGATTAGATAGACAAGAGAGACACACAAACAAACACACAGACCCACACACACACACACAGAGACATAGAGAGACAAAGAGAGAGATGAGAAGATAGAGAGATAGAGAGAGAAGATGAGGAGGTCGAGAAGAAGATAAGAGAGATGAGAGTAGAGAATTAGAGATAGATAGTATCTATGATATATAGATGAGAGGAGATATATAGAGAGACAGAGAGGCGCGCACGACACACACACACACACAACACACACACACACACACAGATACATATATATATGATAGATAGAGAGTATATGGAGATAGAGAGATAGAGAGAGAAGCATAGAGAGGAGAGAGAGAGGGTGAGAGAGAGGAGGACAGAGACAGAAGAGAGAGAGACACAGAAGAGAGACACACAAGGCACGTCACACGGTACACACACACACACACACACACACACACCACACACACCACACACACACACACCACACACCAGGATAGAAGAAGAGAGATATAGAGTATAATAGAAGATGAGAGATAGATACAGACAGATGAGGAGAGATGAGAAGAGAGAGAGAGAGGAAATCGAGAGGAGATAGAGATTGAGAATATAGAATATATAGAGAGATAGTAAGAGATAGACAATATAATAGACATGATATAGATATAGAGATGATATATATGATGATGATAGACGATATAAGATATATATATATATATATATATATATATATATATAATCTATATATATATATACATATATAATATATATAGTACTATATATAATATATATATACGTATATATATATATATATACATATATATAATATATATATACATATATATAATATATATATATATATATATATATATAATATATATATATATATATATATATATATATATATATATACGTATATATATACGTATATATATACGTATATATATACGTATATGTATATACATACACATACACATACACACATACACACACACACACACACACGCAGATATAAATAAATAAATATATATATATATATATATATATATATATATATATATATACATATATATATATATATATATAAATGATCTCCCGTTCCATCTCCTCGTGCCTACCCGTCCCCCAGCCATCCGGCCACCCGCCTGCCTGTGTGTGCATGTGTGCGCGTGTACCTAGTCTGTGCGTGCGTGCGCGCGTACACATACCTATCGTATCTCACTCTTTCACAAAAGAAGTTCGTGCGCATCCGACATGGACGTGCCTTACGCCGTCGTCTTAGCTAAGTGCGGAATTAAAGATCAAATCAAGGATTGGCGTAGAGTGGAGTTGCGCAAGAGGACCCCCCCCCCCCCCGGCGAGGCGCTGAATCATGATCATTTCAAAGCCATCGCCGAATGGAACAACCTTTTACTTCGCTGCTTTTCAACTCGAAAGTGGCTAATGCTTACAGCCGCTTAAATATTCAAAGACATGCATCCATACCTGCGTGCAAATACAGGTATGAGAGAGAGAGAGAGAGAGAGAGAGAGAGAGAGAGAGGAGAGAGAGAGAGCGAGAGAGAGGAGAGAGAGAGGAAGAGAGAGAGAGAGAGAGAGAGAGCGAGAGAGAGAGAGAGAGAGAGAGGGGGGGAGGAGAGGAGAGAGAGAGAGGAGAGAGAGAGAGAGAGAGAGAGAGAGAGAGAGAGAGAGAGAGAGAGAGAGAGAGAGAGAGAGAGAGAGAGAGAGAGAGAGAGAGAGAGGGGGAGAGAGAGAGAGAGAGAGAGAGAGAGAGAAGAGAGAGAGAGAGAGAGAGAGAGGGGGAGGATGAGAGAGAGAGAGAGAGAGAGAGGAGACCGAGAGAGAGAGAGAGAGAGAGACAGAGAGAGAGAGGACAGAGAGAGAGAGAGAGAGAGAAGAGACGAGAGGAGAGAGAGAGAGAGAGAGAGAGAGACAGAGAGAGAGAGAGAGACAGAGAGAGAGAGAGAGAGAGAGAGAGAGAGAGAAGAGAGAAGAGAAGAAGACGACGATGAGGAGGAGAGAGAGGATGATGAGAGATGAGAGGAGACGATGAGAGAGACGAGAGAGGAGAGAGAGAGAAGAGAGTGAGGAGAGAAGACGAGAGAGGAGAGACGAGAGAAGAGAGAGAGATGATTTAGAGAGAGAGGAGGAGAGAGAGATGAGAGAGGAGAGACGGGGACGAGAGGAGAGGAGAGAGAGAAGAGAGATGGAGACGTGGAGAGAGAAGAGAGGGAGATGAGAGTAGAGAGAGAGAGAGGCCGACACACACACGCACACACACACACACACACGCAGATGATACATACTGAGATATTAGATAGACAGATAGGCATCATAGAGAGAGAGAGAGATACGAGAGAGAGAGAGAGATGGAGAGAGAGAGAGATAGAGGAGAGAGAGAGAGAGAGGAGAGAGAGACACAAAGAGAGAATGGAGGAGAGAGAGAGAGAGAGAGAGAGAGAGAGAGAGAGTAGAGAGCGAGAGAGGGAGGAGAGAGAGAGAGAGTAGTATGAGAGATAGATGATAGAGTAGAGATTGGAGAGTAGGGAGAGATGGAGAGAGGGAGAGAGGGAGAGAGGGAGAGAGATAGAGATAGAGAGAGACTAGAGAGATAGAGGCGATTAGAGAGAGAGAGATAGAGAGACAGATAGAGAGAGAGAGAGAGAGAGAGAGAGCGACGAGAGAGAAGAGAGACACACACCAAGAGAGGCTAAGGTGTAGAGATTGAAGAGACACCAATATAGACACATGAGACAGAGGGTGGGTGGGGGTTGGGGGGGGGGGGGGAAGAGAGAGAAGAGAGAGAGAGAGCAGATATACAGATACAGAGACAGATAAGAGAGAGAGAGATATGGAGACGAGAGAGAGAGAGTGAGTAGATAGTAGAGAGATGACGAAGAGAGAGGAGAGAGATGAGAGGGATATAGTGATGAGAGGTAGGTAGAGATGAGATAGAGATATAGATAGATACAGCTGTAGAGAGATAGCAGAGTGATGAGGATATATATATATCATATATATTAAATATATAAATATATAAATATATAAATGTATATAAAAGATATATATATATATATAGTATATATCTATATGATATAGAGATATATTCAGTATATATATATAGAGATATATTGCTGATATAGTATATATATATATATATAGATAGCTAGATAGCCTTATATATAGATATTATATACACACACAAATATATGTTAATGTGTATATATTGATATATACACCAATATAGACACATAGAAATATGTTTGTGTGTTGTAGTGTCTGTGTAATATAATAGGAGAGAGCAGAGAGAGAGAGAGGAGACAGAGAGATAGAGAGAAGAGAGAACATGAGAGAGAGACAGGGAGAGAGAGGGAGAAGAGAGAGAGAGAGAGAGAGCGATGAGAGAGAGAGAGAGCATAGAGATAGAGAGAGAGAGACAGAGATAGAGAGAGAAGAGAGAGAGAGAGAGAGAGAGCGAGGAGGGGAAGGCAGGGAGACGAGAGAGAGAGAGAGAGGAGAGAGAGAGAGAGAGAGACGAGAGATGAGAGAGAGAGGACAGCGATGAGAGAGAGAGACAGAGGAGAGAGACGAGTGAGAGAACAGAGAGAATAGACCAGAAGTAGAAGAGAGAGAATAGAGAGAGAGAGATGAGAGAACGAGAGATAGAAGAGGAGAGAGAGAGAGAGCGAGATGGAGAGAGATGGAGATAAGAGAGCCGAGAGGAGAGAGACGAGATGAGAGACAGAGAGA